TCATTGCAACAACTCAAGGTTTGCTCCAGAAGTAGAGACTGACTGTCAAGAAACAATCTGCAGTGACCCTTCAAGAAGAGTCAAGGTAGTTGAGCTGTAAGGAAGGCAGTGTTACTCACCAAGGAGGGATGACAGGTTTAAATTGCAAGAGCTGCAGCCTATGAGTATTTCATCCAGAACAGAGCAGGACAGCCTGGAGGATGTAATTAAGGCAGATAGATTATAGCTTGTTCATTGCATGGCTTTGTTACTGGTAGATGCTGTTCTAAAACCCCACCTCTAATCCTGCAACTAAACTCCAGTGAGAAGGATATGGAGGGGAACAGATTTAAATAAGGAATTGGTGGCTTGTTGCACTGATGTTCTTGTAACAAATAGTTCACTGTTAGGTATTTCTTCAGGGGTGAGGCTACGTGAGTGGCAGTAGTTTGCTTCTCAATTTCTAATAACTAAATGCAGCTCTCTCTAGTAGTTTCTTAGCCTTTAAAACAAGATATGATGTTAAGATGTTACTAGTATAAACCATACCACTGTAAATCAGTTGGATTATACCCACCTTGAGTTTTACTGCCTGAGGGCCGTGTAACACAGAAGTAAAACAACAGCAACTTTGTTCTGCGAAGCAACATGGAATTAACAAAAAGAAAAGAAAAAAAACCAACCTGCTGGCCATCTTTTGATGCAGCCCATGATGTGGTTGGCTTTCTGGGCTGCAAGCACACATTGCCAGCTCATGTTGAGGTTTTTCGTCAGCTGACACCCCCAAGTCCTTCTCCTCAGGACTGCTCTCAAGCCATTCTCTGCCCAGCCTGTATTTGTGTTTGGCATTGCCCCAACCCTGGTGCAGGACCTTGCACTTTGCCTTGTTGAACTTCATGAGGTTGGCATGGGCCCACTTCTCCAGCCTGTCCAGGTCCCTCTAGATGGCATCCCTTCCCTCCAGGGTGTCAACTGCACCACACAGCTTGGTGTCATCGGCAAACTTGCTAAGGGTGCACTCATGTTCTGTGGCACAGTGTCGATCGCTTTTCACAAGTCCAGGTAGATGATGTCAGTTGCTCTTCCCTTATCCACCAAAGCTGTAACTCCGTCATAAAAGGTGACCAAAATGGTGAGGCATGATTTTCCCTTCGTAAAGCTGTGTTGGTTACCACCAGTCACCACATCTTCATTCTCCCTGTGCCTTAGGAGGGCCTTCAGGAGTATCTGCTCCATGATCTTGCCAGGCACAGAGCGAGACTGACTGGCTGATAGTTTTCTTTTTCCCCTTTTTGAAAATGGGCATTACATTTCCCCTTTTCCAGTCAGCTGGGACTTCACAAAACTGCCAAGACCTTTCAGATATGATGGATAGCAGCTTGACAGCTTCATTTGCCAGTTCTCTCAGGACCTGCAGATGGATGTCATTGGGTCCCATGGACTTGAGCACTTTCAAGGTTTTTTGGATGGTCTCATTGAACCTGCTTTACCATGATAGGAGGAGAGGTTAAAATAATAGAAGGATATTGCATGCATGACAAGAAGGCATAAGCAGACAGCTTCACTGCAGCTTTGAATGTCCAAAACAAGCTGTTAAGAATATTCAGTGATTCTTAAAAAGCCAGTAGCAATTTGTGGTAGTTCATACCCTGTTCTGCTTCATTGGCATCAGCCTATCTGCCTCCTGCAAAGTGCCAATGCTTGTTTAACTCTGTAATTATGGAAACTGATAGTGGGTGGCACAAGAAGGTGGAGGGGCACAAGTACCTATAAAGGCCAACTTCTGGCCCAAGAGCCTGGTTTCTTTGGGCTGCCAGTGGACAGAAAGGAGCTCCTGTTCTGATGTGCTTCAGGAAGAGCCCATCTTCCTTCTGTGTCTTCAGAGACAACCGAGAGTGAGCCTTTCTCAATAGGTCTGTGTTACTGGGCAGGATATGCACATGTGGTAGGTGCAGAGCAGCATTCAGTTTCTGTCACTTTGTGTGAGAAATCAAGCCAGAGTGATCCCCCATCAAGTTTGTGGTGGTGGAGAATGGCTGTAATAATGATGATTTCCTTTTGTAGGTTTCAAGATGCTTTATAAAAGTTTGTTAATAGCATTACTTAGATTTCAATTTCTTGTTTTGTTTTCTCTTACATTTCAGGTCTATCAGTCATGAAACGAATTCTTCTGTTTTTTATCCTGGCTGCTGCTGTTATGTATGGTATCCTGCATGGAAGTTTGTGGAGAAATAACCTCTACTGGTATGGTGGTGCTTTGCTTGCTCACAGGGCAAACACCCTCATGGCTGTATGAGAGATGTGGCTGTGAGTTCCTGTGTTACTGAACAGCTGTTTACTAGTAATCAACAGAAGTGATTACTAGTGTGGGTGGGTGTGTTTGTTTTTGTGGTTGATACGGGGTTTTTTTGGTTTTTTGTGTGTGTTTTGTTTTTGTACTGTGAGGGAATGAATGTGATCATTCTGTCCTGTCACCCTTCTCCTGTGTCAGTTTTAAACTTAGTAGTCAATTTGAGCCTGGTTGTATGGAGAAGTCAGGACCTCAAAGATAGGGAGCCTCTCTGAGTTTCATGAAAATAGGTGTTCAGATGAGGAGAGATATCTTATTTGTATGTGTCATGTGTCCATATCTCCCCCCCACGTGTGTTTAGTGTTAGCTTGTTCCTTTAGATATCTGATAAATGATGTGAAAGAGACCTGCTCCACACATTGGAACTACTCCAGGTGTAGTTGGGCATCCTTTGAAAAGCTGAAATTTGTCAAGTCCTAATGGCAGCCTTGTGAGAAGTGAGTCTTTGCTATCTCCACGCTGCGTGGGACAGGTGGATTGGGACCTAAGGTTCAGGGCATTTATCAAAGTTGTTGTTTCCCTTGGCCTTCGCACATGACAAGGAGTGACCAAAGCGTGTGTTTTACAAATAATAGGGATAGCTTTTAAAAGTAGTGATTGATGTGCCTCTATTTGTCTTTATAGCATATAATTGGTACAAATGGCTTTCTGTTGTGGTTTCTGTTTGTAGCAAACAACAGTGTTATGACATTTCCCTTTTTGCAGGATTAGCTTTTATGGACAGTCTTCCTCTGTGAGGGCTCCTCCTTCCTATGAGACTAGTGGAGTTACCCAGTAAGTTCAGCAGTTAAGCGTTTTTGTGGTGGGGTTGCTTGGTTTGTGTTTGGGCAGCTGGGAGGGATTGAGACTAAAATCTGTAGCCTTTGTCCATAGGCTCTCTGATAAATTGGTTACTGTAGAGCTGTGTCTGTTGGCTGTTTCTGTTACGAACACAATTGTAACATCTCTGGCAGAAAGGAATTTGTCCATGTCATGTTTCCAGTGTTTGGTTAACATTTATGGCCACTTACAGTGACTGTCTGTAACAAGCAATGGATTGTTGGAAGGGCATTTGTTTACAACTTCCAAATTTCTGCAATTCTAAGTTAAACTTGAATAAAATTTGCAGAGCTATAAGAACAACTTTTGTGCTTAAAGTTTAAAAATTCGGAAGTATGATTCATTTGTGATATGCAACTGCATGTACAAGCAGATTTTGTACTACTAAATTCCTGCAATTAGATCTGTGGGACTAAAGAGTGCCTATGCTAAAACTTAAAAGCAGGACTGTTTTCTCTGAAGCCATCCTGCAAAATGCCATCTGTGATGCTGATGCTGGAAAGCAAGGAACTGGCCAGCTGATACATTTCACAGAGTGCTTTCTCAGTATCAGTATTCACATGACAACTTGAGGTTGCCAAAAGCAATTAACCTTAGTGGTCTGTTTGGCTTGTGATTCTAATGTGGTGGTTTCATTCTTCTGTTCTTAATGTAGCCCAGATACACCCATTGCTCACACTGAACTTTATCCTGCCTTCTGAGGTTCATATTTGTTATTAATTGGGCTAAATCACCAAGGCAGGAGTGTGCTTAGAAGTTTAAGTCTTAGCCTTATTATGAGAGGAAAGACTTATCCTCAAATAATCCTACTGTCCTTCAAGTACTCTGTGTGGTTCTCTCTATTTCCTTCTCCAAACAAGACTCCACTCTCCTCTGAATAGCACTGGTGATGCTATCTTGTATGGCTGCAGGCCCATGTGTCCTGCTTTGCAGATGGGCCTGAGATCTCACCTCTGGTTATGGCTGCTTTGATAGTTGCTGAGCACGGGATGTTGCAGACCCCTTGAAGCAGCACTGTGAGATAAAAACCTTTACTAGTAAAAGTAATTGTACCATAATGAGAGAAATCCATCTTTATAATACAGACAGAGGCAGTAATGAAAATTGTTGTGGTGTTAACTCAGTAATCAGCTTTTACTGACTTGGCTTGTCCAAGTTTCTCTACTTTGTTGCTGCTTCGTGTTCCTGTTCTTGCTATTTCTTTCTAATTCTTCTTTTGCAGGCTGCCACCTACTGCTGTAGAGAGAAGAAACGCAGTGAACACTTGTCTTCTAAAACCAGCATTTGAATCTTTACTGGGGTGAGTCTTCTGTGCTATTTACATATTTTGGACTATCTCACATTTTGATTCATTTCTGGAAGGACAGCTTTTGGGCTTGGGTTCATTGCTGCTTTTTCTAGTTGTGGCAAGACAAATTGCTTAGCTTGCTACTGATCAGCATCTGAGCAGTGCCACCACCAGCATGCTGGTGTATGTACTGAATAAATAAATACTTCCCCTTCAGATACTGTAGCTAGTAACAGTGAAACTATTTTAATGATTGAAATAGAAGCCTTTTTTTTTTTCCCCCTCCATGCTTTTCCTGCAAAAGAAGCCTTCATGTCCAGGAATGAAACTCAGTCATTCTGCTATTAAGAACCTGGACTTTAAAAAAATTAAGATTGTCATGATAACTAAGTATTTCTGTAGCAGCCATCCACAGAAGTTCTGAAAATATCTTAATCTTATTTGAAAAGAGGAGTATGAAATGTGCAAAAATTAATCCCATCTTTAATGATAAAAGATTCTTCCCCTTCAATAGAATTTTAATATTAATGGAATTTAATTTTAATGAAACTTGGGATCATTTATGGTTTTGTTGCTCTGATAGTATTGTTGAATTGTGTGTAGGTGTCTTCCACTCATAGTGGTACTCATAGGAAGCTTCCTTTGTGAAGAAGCAGTCAGATGAAAAAGGGAAGAGCTTCAACCCAAAACAAAAGAGGTGTCTGGTCACAAAAGTGCATCCAAGATGGCTGTGAAGAAGTACTGGGTGTTTTTTGGTTTTTTTTTCTTATTAGAAGCATAGGTCTTAAACGAGAGAGATCAGGAAAGTGCTACAGGACCAGAAGCAGACAGCCTATATTGTTAGCTTTGTGTTTTACCTGAGCAAACATTGAGTCTGGCCCTGAGAAAGCTTGGGAAGATGTTTAGACCCAAGTCCTGGCTGAAGGAGTCTTAAGGCTCTAAACAAAGACACTATTGCTGCTTCTCTTTATTTAATCCTTTTTGTGTACAAGAAGAAGACATGGCTTTAATTCAGTGTTATTATTATTTTAAAGAACATGGAAGTGGTCCTGTAGTTTCTGAGTTTTGGTTAGCTGCCTGACTGAGAGAGGTTGTCCCAGGTCCCTTGCCTACAGAGTATGCCCAGGCTGTCTCTGTGTCAGGCACAGCAGGATAGCTCTGATGCTGAGCAAGGGTGCAGGAATCAACTTGGAGATGCACAGCAAGAAGGAGGAAGGTGCAGAGCTAGAACAGAGTCTTTTGCATATTTCCAGAGCTCCTTTACAGGGATGGTTTGTGTGAGCTGAAGATCTGGTCTGTGGGCTTTGGTAATAGCCTGGGGAGGTTGAAAGGATTTCTGACCTGACAGAATTATTTATTGGAAAGGAACCAGAGCTAGAAGAGCTAGAATTAAGAATCTCTTTGCAGTAGGTAAATTATTTATTATGTCTAGGCTTACCAGCTGCTTCTGAACACCAAGGCAAGTTATTAAATTTAAAAAGAGTGTTTAGTGCATGATGTCTTAAAGTTAGCTGGTCTTGCCTAGTTAACCTGTGGCCTCATTCTTGGCATGTGGGCAGTGTTGTTTTGTTGTTTAGGGTTTTTTTTGTTTGTTTTTCCTTTTTACTGTTAGTATCTAATGAATTCATAGAGCTTAGAGTGATTTTTGAAACTGAGAGGGAGGGGTTTTTTTAACAGCTATTATTATTCTTAATGAAGGAACAAGTCGTGCTTGCTGTGGGTATTTATGGTCAACACTAGGGCTTTTCACTGTGACTGTATACTTGTGTACGATTTTAATATAAGACCTAGCATGCAGGATCACTACAAAGTCAACCAGTTCCATAAGTGCGTATCAGCTTAATTCCAAGGTAAAGCCAAGGGCATGGTAGCATATGACAAGATTTGGTCTGCTATTCATTCATTTGGCTTGACTTGACAGATAGAGTAATAAGAATCCCTTCCCTGCTATGAGGAAGCCCTTGTCTGGGGTTACTGTCTTTTGAAGAAAAGAAGTGACTCATTTTTTCTAGTTTGAGGCTTAAAAGGTGTGATGCTGTCCTGTTCTAGTTTGCAGGAGGAATGCACTTTTGAGGCAAACTTGTGATCCTCATGTGCTGGGCTTCTCATTGAAGGGCAGTCCTGGTACATGCGCACTGGATGGATATACCCATTGCCTCAAACCACTTGCTAGTGTCAACACAGCCATAAAGTGCCACTTGTTTGGGATGGAAGTGCATCTCAAATAAGCTGTCATCTTAATGAGATGGTATTTTCAAGTTAAAGCACCTTGTTTCAAATTCTTTCTTATTTATTAAATTGCCATATATAATAATAACTTAATGTAATAATATACTTGTCAAACCTGAAGTTATTAATTGTCTTCCTGGGTTACATGTTCTGTTAAATGTCTCATGGTGTAAGCTTTCAGTCATGCAATTTTAATGACTCTATATAACTTATACTAGCAGAGAAATAATTTCATCTCACTCTCTACCTATATTTTCCGTTATAAAATCTTCTCTTTTTCTGTCACCTGCTTTCTTTTCCTGTGCTCATGAGTTTTCTCCTTTTAAAAATTGATAATACTTGAAGTAGGATAAAGAAAGGTTGTTCTTTTTTTTAAAGTGTTTGCATGAGTTACTGGCTTACTCAAATACATCGTGTGGATTTTTGAAACATCTTACTTTTTCCTTTCATTAGTGTTGACAAAATATATCCATTCCTTTGCGCTAATGATTTTATCAGTGTGGCGGAGTTCCACGGGAGCAATAAGTTTGAACTACCTTATGGAATAAAGAGAGCAGGTTTGTTTTCCCATGTACTTTGTTTTTAAACAGAAATAGCTAAATGGTGTGTAAAGCCCCCTGAATCTTTGGTTCTGGTCTTTCCTATTCACTCTTGCAAATCCTTTTTGGGGTATCCAGCAGCGACTTAATAGTTTCATTTAGTCCCTCTGACCTGGCACCTTCCTGGTTTTGATAAATAAAACACAGAGTTGGAGTTGCCCCCTCTTATCAGAGAAGCTCCAGAAAGGTGAAAGTAAGGAAGAGTTGAGCTTATTCAGCTTCCTTTCAGTTGTATGTGTGGGCTAAAGTGCTAACAATATTTAGCTAGTGCTTTGCTGGGTGAAATATTAGCAGGGTCAGTGTGATGCAGTTCAGTCAACTCATTTAAGCCGATTGGTATCTGAAGTCCTACTGAGGAGGAAGTTCCCAAGTTGGGGCAGTTACATCAACAAAACTTCCCTTTTAGTGGCCTAGCTTCTCCCACCAGGGAAGGTGTCACTGGAGCTGCAGGGGTATTCCTGCCATTGCATGGCTGCAAAGTGTTTGCCTGCTCATGCCTCCTGCCTGTGTTGGTCAGGGCATAATAGACAAGGCCAAAGACCTTAAAGGTCTTGGTTGCGCTTTTGGAAGCACACCTTCTGGGCTTTGAACTCTTGATTTGCACTCCATCAGTGTAACAAGGGTGGTGCATTTTCTTGCACCTCTTGGATTGTGGTTTGTTTGAGAACAAGTTGAGTCCTGCTCTCAGAGGCATGTTGAGCATTCAGCAGGTACCTGCACACTGAGGGAGGGCTGGGAAGAGGCTTCTGCATAGCTTTGCCAGTGAGCACAGGCCGGTTTGATGTCTTCTCCCATGATACATAATGCTAATACTGTTGCTGTCCCTGGCAGTGCAGCCCCTCCTCTTGGATCAAGGCTGCTTCTGTTTCAGCTGAAGGTGGGTAGAAGAAGAAACAAACTACCTTCCAATGCTTATTTACTGTGGCTAAGATTTCTTGCATACAAATCCCATGGGGAATGTGGGAGTGGTAGGGCAGAAAAAGCTTCCCAGAGAGCTCTGATAAACCTGAATTTCTTTGGCATCATTGATTGACCTGTGGCCCTAAATTACAAGTGTTCTTATTTTGATTTTTTTTAATACATGGTGCGTAAAAACTACTGTGTCTGAAAATGCTGTAGTCAGGGTGGCATGCTAATTTTTATATTGGAAAGCACTGAACATTTTTATTAATCCTCTTTATTTTTGCTTTCTAGAGCAATTTTTTCATTTAGCCCTTTCAAGGCTGCAGAACTGTGGACTTTCAGGTGAAGATGACAGGTGAGATGGCTTATTTGCTACTGTTTCTGTTCATTGTATTTTTATTATTTAGTATTTATCTGAAAAAGAATGTCAGTGGCACTATCCTAAAATTGCTCAAGTTAGCATTGATGCAGATCTGACTGACAGTGTCCAAGCAATATGTAACTGATTGCAAGACTTAAGTAAGTTTGGTTTTAAACATATGTAGCACCAGCATTCAAGAATAATTTTTCTGTGAGGGAGCTTAAATGTACAGATTTCTTTCTGTAAGTGTGTTAGGAATTTGCTAGCTTAGCTGAATGCAGTCCCATCTTCCTGTAGTATTTTTTTTATATTTAAGGAAAATGAAACCGCCCCTTAAAAATTGAATGTGACCTCCTCTTTCAAAGTCATTATTAGCGTGAGCTAGAGAATGTTTGAGATAAGCAGATGAAAACCAATGACTGTTTCTATGTAACTGAAATCTTGTGCCTACCCCTGTGCCTCTGCATCTGCTGGCTTGCTGTATGCCCTTGTTCTTATGCATACGCAGCTTCCTTTCCTACGAATAGGAGAGATGGAGGCAGCCAGGAAAGGCTGTTCCTGGCATTTTGGGAATAACGAGGATGTGGCACAGAGTGGAGCATGCCTTGGGTAACTCATTTCCCATGCATTAGATTGTCCTGTTTAAAAATATCTTGGTTAGAAGCCACTTCTGCTGTTTTGTTTGGTTTTGGAGGGTCTTTGTGTGTCTTGTTGCTGGGGTTTGTTTTTGATTGTGGGTTTTGGTTTTTTTTGGAGGCAGTGTAGTAGTAGGGTTGGCAAGTATACTAAAATCCTGTGTTTACCCAGTGATGCAAATGATTTCTTAGATGTGCAGTCTAGCAAATGGACTGAGAGCCTGCCATATATTATGTTAATATGCAGGCTTCTTAACAGAGTTGAATGCAAATAGTGTTGAGGTTGGCTGTAGTTTGTTTTGCTTTTTTCTCAATCAGGGTTATCAAACAGAAGATTGCTTCAAGCCAAATGCCAAGATCATGTTTTAATTAAACTTGGATGGAATATGAACAAAATATTTGGTCTTCAAGGCTAAGGTTTAATACTCAGTTTTCCTTCACCTACTGTACTTCTTCCTTTCCCTGTGTGTAGTATCTATTTCTGGATGTTCAGGTTTGCTCTTAAGGAGCGGGGCAGGGGAGGAGAGAAGAAAAAGCCCAATTCTGTGATAGCATGATAATTGGGGAAAATTATGCAGAATTGACTGACAAAGGCTAGTCTTTTGTGTGGAGTTTGAAGGATAATGCCAAATGTATCAGAAATTTCCTGAAATCACAAATTCAGCACTGTTAATTGTTTTGGCTGTAAAGCAGAGGTACTTGCAGTACAGCATACCTTTTAAATGGAAGTGTCTGTCCTGTAGAACAGAAGTAAGGTAGCTGGTATTCTTTGAAAGGAGGTTCTCTGAGATACAGATGTGTAGTTGTTCTGGGAAGTATATTTCATTTAAAAAGTAATATACTTTAGTAATAGTTCTCATTTTGCTTCAGTACTATGTTATACGGAGTAGTATAAATAGGTAAAATGTATAGTGACTTCATTACAATATCTTCTTCCTATATCCATCAGGTTTTGTGTATAGCACTGTTAGGGCATGAATCAGTGTGGTAAGGAAAAGCTTTATATATACATTTAATCAAGATACAGTTGCTTTTAAGTGTTGAAACACTTTAGGAATCAATCCTAACAGCATTCTCCAGTAACTCGTCAACAGAATTATTAGGCAGTTCTTCATTGCTGCTGCCTAATTTGCCCACCTTGACAGAAAGTAAACCAAATATCCCAAGATACTTTTCTTGGAGTGGAGTGGGGGAACCCGCTATCAGGTGTTTTAACAAATATTAGGCACCAAATATATTTATTTGTGTGTAACTTAGGTAAAACTGCACATAATGAGCTACAAAGGATTTTTTCCACACAGTGCCATTTTCCAAACTTAGGTGGAGTTCTCACTGCATAAAGGTCTAGTTCTCCAAAACTGTTGGGAAGTGAACAGTGTCACTGACTTCAGTGAATAGCCCATAGAAGAAGGATTTTCCAAGCTAGAGATATATCCACAGAGTAACCTCTGAACACCCACTCCACTCATTTCCTCAATTACTCTCTGAACTCTTTAAGTTCAATAGCAGTAAAGTCTTACAAATGTATTTACATAATCCTCAGTCAACAGAATGTGACCTCTGCATCCTCCTTTTACCAAATAACCTCAAAGGAAATAATTTGCATTCCTCAACTGACTATGGGGTATATGTTAAAGGAGTTGAGGTTGAAATCTTTTTTTCCTTTTCCAGAGAAACAGTATTTCAGTGGAATGTGGAGGATGCAAGGTTTTTGACCTTTAAAGGCTACATTCCCATTCAACAGCATTTTTCTTTTTTAGACTAGGGAAATGCTTTTTAGCATTTCACCATATGAAGATAAGATGTAAACTAATGCCTAGCCTTGACATTAAGAGGCTTTTGTACACCATGTGAATAGGGCAGTGGTTTGAGTGACTGAAGAGATTGTGTTTAGATGTTGGGAATCAGTTACCATGCAATTTGCATCAGGATCTGTTTATACTCTTAAGTAGATCTCTAACGCCTACATCACAGAATCACAGAATATTAGGAGTTGGAAGGGACCTCGAAAGATCTTCTAGTCCACCCTGCCTGCCAGAGCAGGATCACCTAGACTAGGTCACACAGGAACACGTCCAGGCAGGTTTTGAATGCCTCCAGAGAAGGAGACTCCACAACCTCTCTGGGCAGCCTGGTCCAGTGCTCTGTCACTCTCACAGTTTAAAAGTTTTTCCTCATGTTCACATGGAACTTCCTATGCTCCAGCTTGTTCCCATTGCCCCTTGTCCTGTCATTGGCTGTCACTGAGAGGAGCCTGGCTCCTTCCTCCTGACACTCGCCCTTTACATATTTATAAACATTAATGAGGTCATCCCTCAGTCTCCTCTTCTCCAAGCTAAAGAGACCCAGCTCCCTCAGCAGCTCCTCATAAGGGAATGCTCCACTCAGTCATCTTTGTGGCTCTGTGGTGGACTCTTTCAAGCAATTCCCTGTCATTTTAGAGCTGAGGGGCTCAGAACTGAACACAATATTCCAGATGCAGTCTCACCAGGGCAGAGTAAAGGGGAAGGAGAACCTCTCTCGACCTATTAACCACAATCCTTCTAATACACCCCAGGATGCTACTGGCCTTCTTCGTCGCAAGGGCACATTGCTGGCTCATGATTATCCTGCTGTCCACCAGTGCCCCCAGGTCCTTTTCTGCATGGCAGCTTTCCAGCCACTCGTCCCCAAGCCTGTAGCGCTGCATGGGGTTATTGTGACCCAAGTGCAGGATCCAGCACTTGGCCTTGTTGAAACTCATACAGTTGGCCCCAGCCCATTGATTCAGCCTATACAGGTCCCTCTGCACAGCCTTCCTACCCTCAGGCAGATCAACATTTTCTCCCAGCTTAGTGTCATCTGCAAACTTGCTAAGGAAATGAAATCCTTTAGTCACTTAAACCATTCCTATAGCAATTATTATAGCTGAGATCTTAATATTTTTCACTTTCATCAATACTGTGCTGGTGGTTGTAAGCTCGACCTACAGATATTTTACTCTGTTATATTTCACTTGTAGCACACCTGATATTGTTTAAGGACATCTGAATTTATTTATCTTCCTGATGATTTATTGACTTGGAGAATGAGTGAGTTGTCAGGATATTCGAAAACTAGATTGAAAAACTAATTGGAAAATAAATAGGCTGAAGCAGTCCTGAAGTAGAGGAGAGAGTTTTGTGGGTGTAGAGGGAATGGAGATACTGAGGTCAGGATGGTGTAACAGGTTTTCACCCCTCTGATTTCCAAGGTACTGAATCACATGGACTTGTGACATTATTTGGAGATCTTCTTATGAATGCTTGGCTTCTACTAAGTTGCTCAGGAAATGGTAGCAAAAGGTGTGCCAGCTTTTTTCCTGTCACTCACCCTGAGCGCTACATTTAGCAGCATTATTTTTATATTTATTATATATGTTAATAAATTTTAAAGGCAAATCCCCCTTTGCAGAGAAGATGCCATCCCAGCATTTCTTTTGAAATACAGTACTTTTTTACAGTTGGCATTTATTCTAATTTCACCTTTTCTGTAAGCTTCAGGTTTTCAGCATTGAGGCCCATTTTTTTTCCCTAGCCCACATGTGGTACGCTATAGCCATGTTAACAATTATGTAGGAAAGACCGGGAACTGCTCTGTACATTGAGATGTTGGCCAGTCTCCGCTGGAATGGGTGTTTTCATTGATGTTGTATAATATTCTCCTGAACTGAAAAAACAAGTTGGACTATCTGAGGAGAAAAATGTTAAATAGTCTGCATAAAGTGTTGTCACACTGAGCATTTAATACTAATTATAGTATTCATTGGGACACAGTCCCGGGGTCCCCTACAGTAAGAAATGGCATAGACTTGTTGTCTTCTTTGAAAAACTGTGGGAGTGGGACATTGGGAGGTGGCTTATCCTCAGTAAGTTTTGAGCCTATTTGCCTGAAGAAAATGCCAACATTTTTGTTTTGCCATTGCTTCTGCTGCAACAGTTGAACAGCTTTTGCTTTTTAAAAAGAAGCATTTTTACAACAAAAAATGATCTGCTTATTCTGTAAGAAGCAGTTGCAATCTTATACACTGGATGCAGACCCTCCCTAAAGAGGCAAAATTTCTTGAGTTAAAAACCAGCAAGCCTGTCTGTGCATTTTTTTGTTTGTTTTTCTTTAGCAAAGCACACATTTTAATAGCATTGAAATAATAGCAAAAGATACACTTAGAAACCCTGGAATAACTTGGAAAATCTTATCATTAGAATTTACTTTCATAAGTTTAACATTTGCATAATCCCTTTTTTGTGTTCTTTTAAACTCTGAATATATTCTAAATTTAAAAGTAATTACTATTTTGATTGGATGTAGTATAAGATCTAATTTGTATGTCAGTGTTTTAAATACTTAGCAATGCTGTTGAATTTGAATCTAGTCATATGAGAATGCAACTTTTAGTCAGGTGTATCTCTTTTGTTATGTTATGACATATGCACTTCACATGTTTAAACATGTTTAGACAGTGATTTCGAAGTGGAAGGAGAAAAATCAACATGATTATATTCATTTGAAGAGCCATCACATGTGTCATTCATTGGTCTAAGGTTTTTCACATGTACAGTTCAGAGGCCTGTAAGGTAAACTGTGAACATAAATCTCGCTGTTTTAGCTTATGTTGGAGATCTCTTAGAGTTGTGGAGTAGTACAATATGCCCAAAGCACCTTAATTTGAGTTAGTTTTTCCAGACATACTCTATCCTGGTTACTATACCCCCAGACTAAGACAGGTTTAAAGCACTATAGAAAGTAATTTTTCTAATGGCACCCATATTATGAACTGATTAGATTATCATAAAGAGCAAACAACTAGAAAAAGGACCAGTTTTACATGAGAAGCCATTTCCTGACTTTGGCAGTCTCTGAAACAATGCAGCTGCATTTTCTGAAAGCAGCCTTAGCATATGATACAGGATTGAGACTGCTCTGAAGGGCCAGGGAGTGTAAAAGATACAAAACCTCAGTTAGTAAATAAGTCAGTTAAATGCAAATATTATAATTAATAACAGTATGAAGCAAGAGTAGTTATGCATATTAAAAGTTCTGTTTGTTCCACAGCATTGCCTGTCGACGGTGTGTTGTGGTCGGTAATGGAGGAGTACTTAGAAATAAGACATTAGGGGAGAAAATTGATTCATATGATGTGATAATAAGGTAAGTGGTATCTCCTTTTCATTTTGTATACATGCAAAGAATTAACAAATCTTTTCTGCCAGTCAGTAGCTTCGGAGTTCAGTTACTATACAAATGAAAATGTATAAAACTTCCTGGTTTACTTTTTCTATCACAGCCTTCATTTAAACAAAACTTAGAGAAAAATGGATCTGTGTTTTATTACACAGACCAATTGATACTGGGGAGGAAGGTTCCCTGGGCGGTCAGTCTGCCTTGTGTACAGGTACACATGGGCAAGATGCTGCCATCAGGAATGGGTCCAAGCATGTGATAGTCTGGAGCTCTGCATGTGCCCCGTGCTGTGGGCCATCATCCTGGGCAGCCCTGCCTCTTACCAGCTGCACAACACCTGTCTTACCTCTATGCTGGCATGTGCATTACTTGGAGTGGATTAAACTTAATGTTTATGCTGGGAAGTCCATCTGAAGGCACATGTCAGCTGGAGGATGATGTTGATGTCTGCCCCTTTTTTCTCAAGTGTGTTAGTTTGTATTGGAAGTTTGAGATGTCTTAACCTACCAGAGAATGCTGGGGTCTGAAGAAGAGGCGTGTGGACTAGGGAAACTAGGGAAGTGCTCAGAGAGTAACAGGCAAGGAGCCAGGGGGAAAAAAGCTCAGATGCCAAGCAAACTGAAAATGGACTATTTGGCTAATTGTAACAGAATTTTCTGCGCAATAAGAAAAAGATAAATCTGTTTCTCCTTTGCAGGAACTGAGACAGTAACTGGTTAAACAAGCCTTCTCCCTGTAGGTGCCCTATCAGATAATGTGTCTGAACCCTCTTTCACTAAAACTTCTGTGCTGCCATTTCAGTTTGTTTGCTTCAACACTGTCTTTAACATTGAACAAAATCTCTTTTTGTTACTTTGCCATTAATCCTAATGCTCATGTTAGTATGTCAGCCTTCGAGCACTACCATAAAAAGTTGTATACAAAGCCTGGAGTTTGGCATATATTTGAAAATGTTCTGGTAAGTTGGAAATTAATATGTGTGGAAATTAATATGTGCAATTCTTCAGTTGTAGCTCCTCCTATAAACTTAAAACCACAGAAAGTGATCCAGATAATATCTCTGTTCTTGGGAAAGTTTACTTGCCTGACAACTTGGTGCTTTACAAAAAAAGAAACCCACCTTGCACTTACTGTCACTGTAGTATAATGACGCAAGGAAGCTTCATGGATTGTTTTTAGTTCTTTGAAGTACTTGGGCTCCTTGTGGATCTATCTACTCTTATGTAGACTGGTGTCACACACTTAAAAACAGCTGTAAATTCAAAACTGTTTCAGAAATACAGTACACATTTGTTTACTGTGAATGAACAGAGATGGTGTTTGCCTTCTGTATTTAATGACTGGTAAAACTTTGATATATTCCCCTGTCTGCATACCTTGTTTTGCAAATATTTGCTCCTAAGCAGTATGCCTCCTGCTCTGAGCAGTCAGTCACAATGTCAGGAATGGGGCATACAGAGACTTGCCTGAATTCTCCAAAGAATATGTAACACACCCACCACCAAAAACTGCAAGATGGAGACTTAAATTCAGCCCCTCTAACACCTCATAGCAGAGAGACTTGACCCACTTGCTCACTGCTTATTAATCTGTTATATCCCAAAGCAGTGGCAGCTGTGCAAGTAATATTAAAAAATAATTAAAAAAAAAAAACCACACAAAAAAACCCAACAGAAAACCAACCCAAAACAAACCACCAAAAAACCCCCAAACAATAAAAGCATAGAGATGTATCAGCATCAGGCACACAGTCACAATCTCTGTTCCTGTATGCTGTAGGCAGTGAAGAGTATTAAAACATTCTTGAGTTGCCAGCTGTATGACTCAGATCATCTAGCAGTATGAATGGAGTAATGGATAATTTTCCACAACAGATACTTATTGGTCTTCTCCAGTTTCTGTGTTTGAGCCAAATCAGAAGGCTGCCTGCTTAAGTGACACACGATAAGCAGTTGTGTGATTGTATTCTAAACCACCTTGGCCAAGTTCCCATATGATCTTAATCCCTCTGGGTTAGAGGGTGAGTGCACTTGATAATTGCTCATTTCCTGTGCAGTGTTATAAGAAAATGCTGGGCCACTAAACCTTCTAGACCTGGACGTGCTTTCTGCCCTGCAGACTAATGCATGTGGCAGCCGCTGCACAGTAAGGACATGAGTGGGGTAGTCATTGCTGTCTCTGTCCTCTGCAGAATGAATAATGGCCCTGTTATAGGGTATGAAGATGATGTTGGGAGGAGGACGACTTTCCGCCTTTCTTACCCAGAATCCATCTTCTCGGATCCAATCCACTATGACCCTAATACGACTGTTGTTCTCATCGTTTTCAAACCACGTGACTTGAAGTGGCTTTGGGAGATACTAAGTGGTCAGAAAATAGTGAGTTTAATTACTCATGCAATTTGACTTGGTTTGCCACACACTTCTTATGTGAAACACCTGTTTTGCTTTTAACCTTTGTCCTGCTAGCTGAGGGGAGCACTGGATCTCCTAGTTAGTCTGCTCAATGTCCCTTTCCCATAAATTTTCTGTCCTCTTTCTCACATACATATTTGATCAATTCCTGCTCCCAGAGCAGTTTTCCTCTTGGAAAGACCTTTTTATCCTCTTTCCAGCACTGTTTCATATTCTGATATGCATGTTCCAGCCACTTTCCAGATTATTTTATCCTGCCCACTTGGTGGAATTGCAGAATAATGTTGGACGGGACCTCTCTATGAAAGTCTTTAGTCCAAAACCTTGTTGAAAGAAAGCTGGGCAAAGTTCAAAGCCATAGCAGGTTCTCAGGGCATTGTCTAGGTAAGTTTTGATTATTTCCAAGGATGTTTCTGCAACCTCTTTCAGTGCTGTAGCACTCTTACAGGAAAGAATTTCTCCTCATCCTTTCACTGTGCACCTCTGAGAAGGGTCTCATCCTGCCTCTTTTGGTAAAACAAATAGAGGTGGGCTGAGCAAACCCAGCCTCCTCAGACCTTTCCTGTTTGCTCTGTGCTCTGGCTTCACAGCTGTTTTAGTGGGTTTTCTGCTGAGCTTGCCCCAGTTTAATGCTCCCTCTTGCATAGGGGGAGCCCAAACCAGCATTTGTGAGATCGCAGAAAGGCACAGTACAAAGTACTTGAGAATAACTTCCATCTGCCTGTTCTCTATGCTCTCATGGTCAAATACACAAATAGCATTCATATGTTGCCCATCAGGGACCTTTCTGCAAAGCCATTTTCTAGCCAGCCTGCCCCAACCTTTGTTGCTGCAGTGGGTTACTCTATTGCAGGAACACAATTTGGCATGTGTGTTTATTGAACTTTGGGAGGTTCAATACTCCTCTTCTTCCTCAACCTCCTGCCCTTGGATTTTACTCTGGTTAGAGTTGCTACAAAACCAAAATCAACTGTTTATAGCCATTAAAAATGTGTATTTACTTGCTTGTTGCAGAGTGCTAAAGGCTTTTGGAAGAAACCAGCTCTGAACATGATATACAAATCTAGTCAAATCAGGATTCTTGATCCCAGCATCACCAGAAAAACGGCTTATGAATGGCTTCGTTTCCCAACGAGGTTTCCCAAGAAGGAGGTAGGCTTTTTTTCTTCTGTGTCTTTTAGTTTTGTGCAACAGATGTGTACTTGGGTAATTATCTCTCTGTTATGGTGGACTGTGTTAAAATATCACTTAGGTTCACATTGCAGTAGTTTACATTTAGATGGTGCCCAAAAAAGATGGGAAAATGGAATCCAGAAAGAGAGTTTGATGGCCTTGTATGCCAAAAATACCTTTTTATGGATTCTATAATTAGTATTAAATGAGACAGCTTTTGTGGACAGACATAATGCTTTTTACAAATTGGGAAGAGCAGACAGGCATTGGAACATGACAGATCCAAAGAGCCTCTAGAAATATTAAGGTGTCTTGAATTATTAAATATAGAGTGTTTTATAGTTTTTTCTTTAAAAAAACAACAAAACAAAACCCAAACCAACAAAAACTCCCACCAAAAACAAAACACCAGAAAAAACCCACACCAAACAAACAAAATCCTCCAAAAACCTAACAACTCGGTAATTCTTTCACTGCTGCAGTTTCACTCTGCTGTGGGCAAGTAAGGACTAGGGAGCATACAGGATATTCGAGCCTTATGCTAATAACATATGTCTAGCAACATTCTTGTGCTTTTACTGATTTGATGCCAAGCATTTTAATGAGTTAACCAACAATTTTGACAAAAAAATACATTTTGTTGTCAGTTTATGACTGAAGAATATTTCTGATGAAAGGTAATGCTTTGAGCTGGAGACCTCCCTTGCACAGTCAGGACTGACATGTGCTATTTAGCACAAATGCAATTCCCTGGGGTCACATCGTTGCACAGAGCAATCACTGGGATCAACCAACTGAAACGTGTGAAAACACTTGACAGGTTGTCAATGTGTCGTATATACTACAACTTTTTTTTCTGATTTAATCTTTCTAATATTTGAGGAAGTTGAGAGTTTTTTGCTTTGAAGTGTGTGTATGTACTTTGCTTTGCTTTTCTCTTTTTTTTTTTTAAGATTTTTCTTTTTTTGAGCCTACTAGTGGCTTTTTCCTCCCTTGTTAACTATCAAACTGGACTATGCCGTTTGGCTGCATGCTTGCTGGGGCTCCATGGTGTTTCAGCTCTTCCTCTGAGGGTGGGAAGAAAGTAGCATAGTAGTTGGGCACATAACTATCTCCTAAAGGGCCACAGAATGTTCGTGACCTCTGTGGCTCCAGAAATCCCTCCTGTCTCTTCCTGTGCTTGCCTTTCAGTGGGGGTAAAAGTACCTAGTGCTGTCAGAGAGCCAAACAGGTGTGCACAGTGTCCTGAGGCTGGTATGAAGACATAGGCACATCAGTCACTTTGGATAGCGTGCATGCTCTCTGTTCCTCTATTGCTTGCTGGATGCCCCTGCTCAGAGGGGGCATAGAGTGTGTCTATGCTTGGAGCCCCTTTCTGCCACCTCCATATCCCATTTGCTCCATCACAGGGGTATTGCAGCCCATTGTCTCAGGTGGCAGCAATGGTCAAGCTCACATCTGCTTGTCCTCACTATTTCTCCCATCTACAAGGCGACCCATGGCTGGGAGACTGCACATCTTCAGTCATTCTGGCACAGCTGATGTATGGTGGCACTTGGGCAGTTCCCATTGGCAGGGTGGCCCTCTGCAGGACCCACTTTGGAGCCCTCTGTCCCAGTAGTGCATCCCTGGGGAGGACTGGTGCTGCCTTAGCTGTCCTGTGCTTCAGCCCCCTCTGCCTGCAGGAGACATGAAAGACCGCTATTACTTTCCCTGCTGTCTCTGCCGTTTCCATTAAGCCAACCTGTGTTCCCTGTGTGTACATTTGTGCATAGTCTAACAAGCATTTCTGTTTCTTTGTTAGCAGCTGTGATGGTGTTAGCAGAGCTGGGAAGAACAACTGTAAAATCAGAAGTCAAAGTATTGCAGAGTCATTCCAGAACTGCACCTGCTCTCATTAAACATGACGGGCTGAACAGATTTCATTACAGGCTGAGGATATCTGAATATTGCTGTGGTGCTAGTGTGACAATACTTTTTAAAAGTAGTGTTACTTTTTTTAGTGTATTCTTCTGAGGTGAACTTTATGATAGCCAAAGGCGAGCAGAGCTAGTTGCAACCTGCGGTATTCCTGATAGCACTAATCCTGACATGTAGCATCCCTGCCATAATTTTTAGGTCCTGTTTAGTATAGATGTTGGAAGAGAGTCACCACTAAGTTTATGATATTGGGCTGTTTTGCGAACTGGCAGGAGCCCTGGGCATCAGTATGCATTTTAAGTTGATGTTATTTCTGGAGCACTCCCAGAGTCGTATAAAGGTACCAAAAAATTCTATATAAAAGGTTATCGTTCAGTTCTGTAACTTTAATTAGATTTACAGAGCTGATGTTGGTAACTTCCCTGGGTATTTGCTCTTTCATCATATGATACAAAGAAATATTTTTCTGTATCGTCGAGTGTATCTGCGTTCTCTCTGTGTGGACTTGTCCGGTATGGGTTTGCCTGCTTTGTTTTCAAAGGTAAATGAACTGAGCCTTGGATAAGAGTTCCAAAAAGCACATGATTTTGTGCTCAGTTTGAGGTTTGATTGCAGCTACCAAAAGTGTGTAGGTCATGTGATCTCTCAGAAAATTGTTATTTTTTAGCTAAGAAGGGTATTAGTGCCTGAAAGTGTTTGTTTGTTTGGATTTGGGTTTTGGTTTTTTTTTTTTCATTTCTGAGGGCAATTTTCCCCTCAGCTTTATCAGTTAGTCTAATGAAAGACATCACCTCTCTGTACAAACCTTGCTACTCGTGCTAAAATAGTTGTGTATTTGTTCATAAAGTAGGACAGGTGGTTGCAATGAGTTGTTCTATGCTCTTTTAAGAAATGCTAATTTTTTGTTAGATGTTCTTAATTTGGTACAATTAAAACCTGGTTATGACCTGCTCTTGTTATTTTACACTGCATTTACTTCTGAGCTATCTCACTGTAGGGATAAACAAGCAATTTTATCTACACTTTCTACACATGGCATTTTTTAATCTACAGCTAGCATTCATAATTTTTTAGTTTGATGTTATGAAGATTTGAGGCATGTCATGTTATTCTGTTCATCTGGATCTCCATCATCTAGAAACTTCAGAACAGATCTACTAATTTAGTCAAATTTGACAGGGTGAAATGGTCTCCAATATATTGAAGCCTGACCAGTTTCATGACAGTAGGTTACTGAGTGGAGGGATGGGGAGATCTTCCTGATGCCTCTGTGGAGGGGGTGGTTACAGTATGAGCTCAGCCATCACTGGAAACTGTAGAATCCCAGGACAGGCTGACAAGGCAGACACTTTAGTTAAGGAAAACCTGTGGGCAGTACCTTACTCCTTATAAAGTCATGAGGGGATCAAACTACAAAACCATATCACACAGAATCACAGAATATTAGGAGTTGGAAGGGACCTTGAGAGATCATCCAGTCCAACTCTCCTGCCAGAGCAGGATCACCTAGAATAGGTCACACAGGAATGCATCCAGGTGGGTTTTGAATGTCTCCAGAGAAGGAGACTCCACAACCTCTCTGGGCAGCCTGTTCCAGTGCTCTGTCACCCTCAGAGTAAAAACGTTTTTCCTTATGGTGTCATGGAGCTTCCTATGCTCCAGCTTGCTCCCATTTCCCCTTGTCCTATCACTGGATATCACAGAGAAGAGCCTGGCTCCAGCCTCCTGGCACTCGCCCTTTACATATTTATAAACTTTGAGGTCACCCCTCAGTCTCCTCTTCTCCAAGCTAAAGAGACCCAGCTCCCTCAACCTCATAAGAGAGATGCTCCATTCCCTCCGTCATCTTTGTGGCCCTGCACTGGACTCTTTCAAGCAGTTCCCTGTCCTTCTTGAACTGAGGGGCCCAGAATTGAACACAGTATTCCAGATATGGTCTCACCAGGGCAGAGTAGGGGGGGAGGAGAACCTCTCTTGACCTACAACCACACCCTTTCTAATAAACCCCAGGATGCTATTGGCCTTCTTGGCCACCTGGGCACATTGCTGGCTCATGGTCATCCTCCTGTCCACCAATACCACCAGGTCCTTTTCTGCCTGGCAGCTTTCCAGCCACTCGTCCCCAAGCCTGTAGCGCTGCATAGGGTTATTGCAAGTGAAGTGCAGGGCCCGGCACTTGGCCTTGTTGAAGCTCATATAGTTGGCCTATATATATGGCCAGGCAGATCAACACTCCCTCCCAGCTTGGTGTCATCTGCAAACTTGCTGAGGGAGCACTCAATCCCCTCATCCAGATCATTGATAAAGATGTTAAACAGGATTGGCTCCAAAACTGAGCCCTAGGGAACACCGCTTGTGACTGATCACCAACTGGATTTAGTTCCATTCACCACAACTCTCTGTGCTCAGCCATCCAGCCAGTTTTTGACCCAGGAAAGCATATGCCCATCCAAGCCATGCCCAGCCAGCTTCTCCAAATGTCTGTAGAAGAGCTAGGCTGCCTGATTTCCACTATCTTTGTTCTTGAGTTTACTGTTCCTGTCAAGCTGCCATTTAGTTATGTATGTGTGCTCTTTGTGTTTCATTTTAGAAACCCAAGCATCCAACAACGGGGCTAATTGCCATTACACTAGCATTTCACGTATGCCATGAAGTTCACGTGGCAGGCTTCAAGTACGACTTCACTGACAGAAACAGTTCTTTGCACTACTATGGCAACGACACCATGTCTCAAATGATGCAGGTAACAAACACTTTTTTTGCTAAGAGAAATATAGCCAGTAAATGGGGAAATGTGGGGGACCTCAGCTGGACTGAGGCCCTTGGACAGAGTGACTTTGACTTTGAGAAGATTCCAGTCTACCCTTGAGAGAATAAACAGGAACAAGAAGAGCCGCAAGGTAAACAAGTTTGTCGAAAGTGCTGACAGCAAACTGAGGTATATGTGTTACTTTGGCAGAAGTGCTGAGTTGTGATGAACTGTGAAAATATTATCCAATAAAAAGAAACATAGTCATTTTGAACCAATGAGAAGAAGACACATCTGGGGAGAGAGAGTATAAATAGATGAGGAAGAAAAACAATAAAAAGGCCTTTTTGTGCTGCGCCAACACTTGTCGCTTTGTCTGTCCCCACCATGACAGGAAAGACAATTCAAGGTAGGTAAGTGTCGACTGCAGGTCAGAAAGGCCTCCCATCTCCTCTTGGTTCAGCTGCTCATAGGTCAACATTGCTTGAATCTCTTCCCATCTGCTTTTGTTTCTGAGAAATGTGGATAATGATGATCACGTTCCTCGTGAGATCATGTCCATTTGTATGTTCTATTTTGCTTTACTGGTGTTATCCTTAGGTTATGCAGCTCTTGTTCATAGAGGTGTATATACTAGCACTGTCAGAACATGAATAGTGTTATTTCTGTTTGCATTCTCTTTTTCCTTAGCAGCTGCTTGCACAATTTGTCATAGTTGCCAAACTTCTTAAAAAAAGAGAAAGAAGAGTAAAGTGAAAAGGAAAGAGAAAAAAACTATGAACTTGCAATTAGGAAAAGAGCTGGATTTCAGAAATGGAAAGCAGAAAAGCATCTCTTGGAGGGGGGTAGGAAGAGAAGAAACTGCTTACAGAAGGAGGAAGCCACAACTCACCATGGGGAGGGAGCAGCAAGAGTCTGGAAACATCAGGAATGGCTTTTCCTTCCATCCTGTGGAGAAGAGCCTCCTGCTTTGCTATGGTCATGCCTCTGTTTTCTTTTATGTTTCTACTCTTCACCTCTGTACTCCGAGCAACTCCATCTCAGCCCTTTACCTCAATGTGAACAATTTTCTTTTCCGTGTGCTTGGCCAGTTTTCTCTCCTTTTCTTTCTTGAAGAAGGACAATAAGAGCAATGTCCGTAGGAGCCCCTCATGTCTCTCTGAGGACTTCTAGGTGCCTGCTGCTCTGAGATAATCTTCCTCTCACACTGAACTAACCTTCACTTTGAGGTTCCACTCTGTAGGAGCTTTTTTTGCAATGTATGCAAAGCTTGGGTAAGCTTGATCACTAGTCGAATAGACATCTGTAAGTTTCCTAACATCTTGAAACTTTAAAAAACAAACAGCTAAAAAACCTTTATAATTAATTCTGTAGAGGCACTAAGATGTAAACATTATACTGCATGTGTATGATCTTTTATACAGTACTTGTATTCATTTTAACTTACTGGACTCAATGTCTAAGATTGTCAGTATACTTACTTCCCCTGTGCTGTCCCTCACTAACCTCAGTGGTCTCTGGACCTGGATCAGGATCTGGATACAGCACAGAAGATGGTTTTGACTTCTTGAAACTGGTTGACAGATGCATCCAGTTTACAAATGCCTCATGTCCTTTTCAAGCACCTGCATTGAGCTTTGTAATTAGTAATTTTCTGACTGCTTGTGCTGTAATTGTGGTCATGCAGCTGTTTTCTCTAAGCACAGGGAGGAATTGGGAGAGTTAGTAATGCAAAGACTTCTGTGAGACCATGTCTAACCCATTCTTGCCACTGAAGGATCATCCCTTGTGGTTTGTGCCCTAATGGAAAATCTAAGCTTGTTTTGAGCAATAGTCACCTATTTTCTTTGGAGGCTGTGCTACAGCCTTTGCTAAGAAGTCTTTTACCCAGAGCTTTCCTACTCTTAGCATCTTCCAAGTATCACAAGTAATTGAAAGAACACTGAAGTGGTGCTTCTGGTAATAATTTGAATTAATTTTTTTTTTCTCTTGCATCTCTTTAGAATGAATACCACAACATTAACGCTGAGCAGAAATTTTTGAAGAAGCTTATAGACAAGAACTTTGTGGTCAATTTGACATGAAAACTGAATGGAAAATACAAAGAACAACCACTATTTTCAAGATTCGAAGAATTTTATTTTTTGTATGACACTTTTATTTTTTAAGTGCAACATAACTGTTTACTGATTGCAAGGAGCACAGAAACCTCATCAAGGCAGAAGCTTCTTCTAAGCCTGAGGGTAATGGACTATCGCAGACAAAGTTAACTGAATTTCTGTGAAGCTATTTAATAATGGGGAAGCCATGAAACTTTCAGCTGAAAGCATCAGGGATATATAAAAATGTGATGCACATCACTTATTTATCAGCAAGAACTGTTTCCAAATGGCTACTTCTCTGGAATACTTTTGTTTCTGTTGTTGTCCTAAAGAGTTACACTGTCAAGAGACTGAGACAACCAGCGTTTAAATAGTAGATGGGTGTAAAGTCTTGAATGTCTGTCTTGTAGTGTGAGAACAGCTTTAAAATGCCTATAAATTATTACTGTGTGTTTGGGAGAAAGGGGAACATACAGAGTGCACAGGTTTTAGTGTGCCCTACTGAGCAGGGGATGTCCATCAGCAGCAAAGAAGCTATAGCTTCTGCACTGGCTATCAACTCTGAACTGCTGCCTGCCTTTGCCAAAGGTGAAGACCCTTTGCTCTGATTTGTGGTGATGCTGGTATTGATGGTGTTTGTGTTGTACCTGGCTTATGAAAAACCATCTTCTCCATGCTGTGCATCCAATAAATTTTACAGTTGATGACTTGACTTAGAAAAAAGGGATTATGAAAACTGAAGAGCTGTCCGAACTACCTGTGTGTCAGCTGCTTCCACCAGACCACAAGGAAACAAGACCTGAGACAGAGATGTTCATGCCAGAGTTTAAATTTAGAGCCAACATTTGTTGGATTCCTAGATCTCTAGGGCAGGATCTCGTGTATCTTTTTGTTCACTCCCCAAAAATTGAGGTGCATTTTCCAAACCAGCAGTCTCCTTTTAGATGCTGTAATGCGTTTCCACCTTTGAAAGGCATCAATGTAAGCAATTAATGTTCCCACTTTCAGCAGTAGAATGTGCTAGGGAGTATCAAAGATGTACCTCAGCTGTATTATCATTCTTTTCACCTCTCCTGTCTTGACAGTTAGTTTTAAAGGATGTGGCTGAACGAAATCATTTAGTTGTAGGAACTTCCTTGGGATTTTAATTGAAGCATTTAAACCAGTACAAGAAGCAAAATGTCCCATTGTCTTGGACAAGCCTACTGAGTAAGTTAAATCTGCCTGGGAATGTCCTTGACAACTGTCAAAGAACAAGTAGTATGATGATCTAATTCTCTCATAGAGTGTATATAGATTTTTTTTTTTTAATTGGGCCAGATTTTCTTGAAGATCCTGTGGTTGTCTTGATCAGCCACACTTAAAGAATGCACAAAGAATTCCACTTAAAAAAAAAGGAAAAAAACCAAAGTCTTTATAGTTGGTGGAAAAAAAAGCCCTTGCTGCTTTTTAATAAAATTATATCGAGTTTTAGTATCTTTAAGAACAGTGCAAACAAAATACAAATGCAAACCTCTAGCAGGTCAAGAGCACAGTATTTCTGTCTTTCGTAAGTTGAGGATTACAGGAGTACTTAAGAGAACTTCTTTGCAGCAATGTAGAAGACTAATCATTTAAGTGACAAAAGAGTTATCTTTCATTTTTCCTATTTTTCTTGTGGAGTGCAGTAGGTATTTAAAAAAAACCCAACACCTTCCTGTAGTTCTCATCTCCCTCTTTAGCCCCTTGCCTCTGCCATTTGGAAATTAGTGAGTGCAGTGTGATTTGGAGGGGAGCCACAGCCAAAAGGGAGGAGGCTTGTGGTCTCACTTAGTATTTTCATCTGATGACTCTTGAGCTTTGCTCCAAAATCTGGAGGGAAGACATGCACCCAGCAAGGGATAGGCTGTGCCATGGGACCAGTCTGCTGCAGGTGATGCTGTGGGAGGTGGCCGCTTGTCCAGCCATGTGCAGGGAGGCAGGCAAGATCATGGAGGAAATAGGAAGGTGGGAGGTCCTGGAGCATGTGACTGTGGTGGAAATGGAGGAAACCAGAATTTCCTCACAAGATGGCCAGAGGGCTCTTACTCAGTTATTTGGTTGGTGGTGTGTTTTGTTTTGTTCTTTTAAACGTGTGCATTTCCGAGCCTTTGAGGAATTCTTTGCTCAAAAATCTGAATACAAACACGTGGGGTTTTGCACCAGCAAACTGTGATATTACTGCCTTTAGTTCAATTCACATTTATTTCTCATCATTATTTCATGAGGTTTGAAGTTTGTCTGTGACTCTGCAGCCACAGGCCCACAGTGATTTAGGCTACTGACAATAGCAACCACATCAGCCTTTTTGGTCTCCCTAAGGCTTGGGGTTTTTTGGTGGGTTGTTTTCTTTTCTTTTTGAGTTAATGTGTTTGTTATTCTCAATGCATTTAATATGCTGTCTACAAGCATTTCTCTATCAGCTGCTTCTTTTTATTTCTCCTTAGTAACCCTCCCCCTTTGTATGTCTATTTTTGAAATTATGCAGTACGCCCAGGCATGCTTTTTCCCCTCACTTCTATGCTCCTGTAGGGAAGTTGAGTCTGCAAGTGCTGAGGTTGTTATCACAGTGTGGCTGAAGAGCGTTTAGAGGCATACCTGTTCAATCAGGACAGAACCAAAAGTTGATACCATTGATAAACCCACCATAAGATGCTTTGGTAGGATTCTGTGTACATCAGCCCTGCTTTATCGCCCACTTCACATGGTCATTTAGGCTGCTCTGCCTTTTACACTAACTTCATACAGGCAAGATTAACTATATGGAGTGCATTTCTCAGTAATGTCCACAGATCACACTGTCTGTTATATCTGGGCATGCATTTTCACAGACATTTTGCAATACCAAAGACTTGCCTTGGGATTTTCTGACAAGAACAATAATGCTAACTCCAAATACTTACATCTTTTCTGAGAGTGAGCTGCTATGAAAATTTTCTTTTTCTTTTTTGCCATTCCTGAAAGTGAAGTCTCTGCACTGGAACTTCCCTTTAAAAGGTACCACACTTTATCATGTTGACAGTAGCAAAGCTGTCAAACTTTGAATTCCAGGGTGCTGCCAGCTTTATTTCCATGTCTGGTAACAGTTGTAACTATACAGGTACAAAGCGTCTCCCGTGCATTTTTTCCCTGTATCATTTGCAAAGTCAGATGGTCTCATCCCTTCTTCCTCTGTCCTGCTTTCCAGCAGTCTGCCAAATTTCAAGGCAGCAGCATCTTACAGTAAAGGTGCACCTACCTTTTTATCTGCTCCCCCCCTCCACCCCCCATAAAATGCTGCACCATCAGAAAGATCCAGCTGCAAGGTACCAAAGTATGCACAGAACAGGTAGGATGAGATGTATCACCTGAAAGCTCTGCTTGGCTTAAACTTTTCAGGGTTCTTTTTTTGTTTCTTTTCTGTCAGGGAAAAGTATTTTTTCCTCTGCTGTACTAAGGGAAGTATGAATATGACTTAAGAAGGAAGTTCACAAACTATTGCACTAAATACAAATCTGAGAGTGCCTAAAAGATACTACTAACTGACATTTCCAGTGACTGTATTGGTAATAATAATACAGAATCACAACTCTGGTGTTTTAACAATCAATGTGTGGTACCTACTGTTTCCTTTACCATGCTTTCCTTTTTAACAGTGCCCTGGGAGGCAGTATAAATACCTTAACTTCTAAGTGGGGTCTGATTTTTTTTTTAAGAACACATGAAAATCAACATCTGTTTTTGGTATTGGTAAATACTTATGTTATTTACCATTTGTTTTATGTTTTATATGACTTTTAAGTGCTAGCTGTATTTTGAAGGTATTTCTTACAGTTGTTTCAAGTGAAATTTTGACTGCTACAAATAGAAAGACCAGAATATTTTGCTGTGAATAAACTGTGTTATAGATGTCTTTGCAAGGTCAGTGCTCTGTGTGTGGATGTGAGAGTGTGCACAGCCACAGTTGAATAGTGATCTAGGTCAGTGAGAAATATGTTAACACTTTCATGCTAGTTTTTTTTTGCAGGTGTAAAAATGGGGAGGGAGAGGATCAGGAAAAGCTGTTTCCAAATCCACAGAATGGTAGGGGTTGGAAGGGACCTCTGAAGATCATCCAGTCCAACCCCCCTGCCAGAGCAGGATCACCTAGAGTAGGTCACACACGAATGCGTCAAGGCGGGTTTTGAATGTCTCCAGAGAAGGAGACTCCACAACCTCTCTGGGCAGTCTGTTCCGGTGCTCTGTCACCCTCACAGTAATTTTTTCCTTATGTTTAGGTTGAACCTCCTGTGTTCCAGTTTGTGATGCCTGCCCCTTGCCCTGTCACTGGCCCCAGCTGAGAAGAGTCTGGTCCCATCCTCCTGACACCTATCCTTTAGGTATTTATAAGCATTAGTGAGATCCCCCCTCAGTCTCCTTCTCCAGGCTAAACACCCAGCTCTCAGCCTTTCCTCATATGGGAGTTGCTCCAGTCCCCTCATCATTTTAGTGGCTCTGTGCTGGACTCTCTACAGTAGTTCCTTGTCCTTCTTGAACTGGGGAGCCCAGCACTGGTCACAGTATTCCAGATATGGCCTCACCAGGGCAGAGTAGAGAGGGAGGAGAACCTCCCTCGACCTGCTGGCCACACTCTTCTTAGTGCACTTCATGCACAGTCTTCTAAATAAATGGGAGAGCCAGGGCTATGGTATGCATCTCCCAGTCTGGCAGCCAGCTCTGGCTTTTCAGGCGAGCACAAACCCTTAAAGTGAACCACTATGATTTCTCGGCTTCCAGAGATGGAGCTGTGTTACCCCCAGCCCCACCCACCATCTCGCACTAAACATAATGTTGGGAGAGCATGTTCCCCTGGTGGCTTAGGGCAGGTTTTGCTGGTATTTGCTGGTAGAGAAGAACTAAATAAAAAGGTTTTGTTTGTTTTGTTTTTAATATCAAGCTGTCAGAGGTTTCTGAGAGCCCTTGTGGTCCGATATGTGATTTCAGTTGGTTGAATGTTTCTTCAAACAGTTCTGCTGAATGAAGACAGGATTTTTTTTAAAGATATTTAATAAGATAATTTTTTTCAAGTCAGTACAAAAATTTTAAATACAAAATTATTTGCTTTTGACATATCTCATACATTCTGGAAACATACTGAAGTCACCAATGCCTGGTAAACTGTTCTGTTTGTTTCTGCCACCGTTCCATAAAATTTCTGAGATAAAGCACCACATTATATCACTGGAGTCCTTAGTCAATCTTAGACTGCATTAAACTCTGCATAAATAATGGTAATGCCAGTTAAATCCAATCTTAGTTCTGCATGAAAAATCTAGTTCATTTTTTGAATCAAAAGCAGTAGCATTAGCTAAAGACATCAAAGAAGTGATGAGTATTTAAGTCTTCCAACTAGCATAACAGTGTGTGATGCGCAGCACTGTACTGGGAAGCACAGCAAAGTACGCTGCCCTTTGGGAGCGAGTACTTGTGAGATTAGCACCATTGCTGAACAGACAGCTCTTGCAGAGGAGTTGCTTTCCTCACGTACAGAAAGGATCGCGGCCTCCAGGTTCTCCTTGACATAAATAAGGACTGGAAATCAGCTTTTATATAAAACAAAGTTCTTAGATAAATTTGCATGATCAAAATTGCTGGTAAAGTTATTGGTTGATCTCAAACAACAAATTAGTTTATTAGCAAACAGAGCTACTTCTGCTTTGCCTAGTCATTGAAGAGTAAGCTGATTTAAGTTTGCTGAGTGGCAGAGTAGATGTCTCTTCCGTCAAGCCAAATGGACGCAGGTTCTTCCGATGAGCACAGAAATCCAAGCAAATTTATACCGCCCTGCTGTGTTGCCATGCATTGGCCAAAATGCTTCAATCATGTGGCACAAAGCAAAGAGATAAGCCTTTGCTTTTGTCTCCAATCTACTTCACCTGCTTAAACTGTGCAAATGCAGATCGAGGCTTTTTGAGTGCTGTGGCGCTGGAAGGTGAGCCAAGCACCTGCTGGAGGCAGTGGTGGCATTCTGGAGAAGGCCATGGTATTACATTGTTAATACTCCTTTTCCATCATAAATAAATTGTGCAGTAAAAAAAACACACCTGCAGGAATATTTTATATGGGGGGTAGAGAAATAAAGGTCTCCAGCTAAGAGAACCTTTGCTTGTTAGGCAGACCTGCTGTCAAAAAAACAAAAAAAACCCACCCAAACAAATAAAAGGCCACTCGAATTTTTTCATATAGTTTGAGCCTGACCTACTCTGGTTTAAGTCGCTGGTTTTCATCTCATAACTATGATCAATGCAACAGTCAAATATGCAACAGGAGTGAGTGATGCACACTGATTTGAACCTTACTACTGACTTATTGTGAATGAAATGAAGTAAGCATGGCATCAAAGAAATATATAATGTACAGCTAATATGTCCCTCTTGGGTGCAAAACAACTGTTTATGAATCTGATACACATCTTTATGTTCAGCACACTTTTTTTTATAACTAGCTGTGCATAATGTTAAACTTGTATTTATTTTTTTTTTGTACAAGATGATCCACAATAGTCATAAAATGCATCTTTCATGGTATGGAAGTTTGAAGCAGAGAAGAAAGGTTTTGATTTTCTGTGTATGTGTGTGGGGGTGTCTGATTTTTGTTTTACATGGGATACAATAAATATCCTGAAAAAGATGAATGAACGTACTGCCCAGCATAGAGTCCTGCCGCCTGCTCGGACGGCATTTGAACGTAAACCTTGTCTCCATGCATCAGCTGGACAACAGCGCTGCCTGAAGCCTGGTCCAGGAAACCCTTCTTGTACTCATCATAGGTGTACATCAGTGGCTCATTGTTCTTGAACAACGCCACCCAGACACTGGCCCCTTTACAGTGGACATGGTAGGTGAAGTAGTAGATGCCAGGGATCTCGCAGGTGAAGATCCCTGTCTGGGGGTTGTAGTTCTGCCGGCCATTGTAGAGGAGCTTGTCAAACTTCACAGGCACCCCGACCCGGGGGAAGGGGGTGAGGAGCTCCGCTGTGAATGCGGGCATCTCAAAGATGCCACCAGCCTTGCCTTTCTTGCCCATGTAGCCATAGGGGGGCTTGACACCATCTATCCCTGGTCCAACCTCAGGCAGGTACTGTCCAATGGGTGGTGGAGTGGGTGGGATGATCACTGGGGGACCTGGGGGCCCAGGGGGGCCAGGTGGCCCTTGGAGGCCTGGCTGGCCAGGGGGACCAAGCGCCCCAGGCTTCCCTGGGGGTCCCTGCAGCCCTGCAGCCCCCGGTTTGCCCATGCCAGGGAAGCCAGGGGGTCCAGGCAGGCCAGGTTCCCCCTTTGCCCCTGGCAGTCCTGGGGGGCCAATGGGACCACTGGGTCCTGCGATGCCAGGGATGCCTGAGGGGCCCTGAAGCCCCTGAGCGCCAGGGAGCCCCGGCTCACCCTTTGGCCCCATGAGTCCTGGGACACCTGGCAGCCCCGGTAAGCCTTTGTGCCCTGCTTCTCCCTTGGGTCCTGTGGGGCCTGGCAGTCCCCGCAGCCCGGGTGTCCCCACTTCCCCAGGAAAGCCTGGCTTCCCCGGAAACCCCTGGAGGCCAGGTTCACCCTTGGGGCCAACTGGTCCTGGTGGCCCCACAGCGCCACCTTCTCCTTTGGGTCCTGGGAAGCCGGCGGCCCCTGGAGGACCCATGATGCCTGGCAGTCCTGGCTGTCCTGGCTCCCCTGGCGGCCCCCCCATGCCAGGTGGCCCTGCATGCCCTTTCTCCCCCCTCAGCCCCAGGGGGCCAGGCAGACCACCCACACCACGCTCACCCTTGGGCCCAGGAAAGCCTGGCTTCCCAATCCCAGGGAGCCCAGGGGGCCCTGGCAGGCCTGGTAGGCCCTGCTCACCTTTGCCTCCTGGGAAGCCTGGCTGGCCAGGGATGCCATCCTGGCCAGGTTTGCCAACACCAGGCAGGCCAGGAGGGCCTTGGATCCCGGGGGCCCCTGGGGGTCCCTGCAGCCCCAGCTCTCCTGGGGGTCCGGGTTTGCCCAGGGGTCCCTGAGGGCCAGGGAAGCCAACCATGCCGGGCTTGCCAACCCCTGGCAGCCCCACAGGGCCGGGGGGGCCAGGCAGCCCCGGGGGACCCTTCAACCCTGGCAAACCCGGTATTCCAATGCCCTTCTCCCCTTTTGGCCCTGGGATGCCAGGGGCTCCTGGGGGCCCCTTCATCCCAGGCTCACCCTTTGGCCCTGGCTGCCCCTGCACCCCCGGAGCACCCGCTTTTCCTATGCCAGGAAGCCCGTGAGGACCTGGTGGTCCTTGTGGCCCAGGTATCCCCATGGGCCCAATCTCCCCTTTCGGACCCATCTCCCCTCTTGGCCCTGGGGGCCCCATGACCCCTGGTTTTCCCGGCATCCCTGGCAAACCCGGCTTCCCAATTCCTGGATATCCTTGTGGGCCTGGTTTTCCTTTGGCTCCTGGCACACCGTGACCCGGTAATCCTGGTGGTCCTGGTGGCCCTCTTGGTCCAGGCTCACCAGGGGGACCTTGCTCACCCCTAAGGTTGCGCATGGGTATTTCTGGGTCAGGAAGACAAGAAAAAGAAAAAGGAAGGGGGAGAGACAAAAGGTGATTGCAGTTGTACCCTCACATCCTTTGAGAAATATAAAGGCAGTTTTTAATTGAACGTGCTCTTGGTTTTGTGGTGGGCAGGGAGGCAGAGGTGGACAGCGTCACAGGTTGGTATTTGGAATGAAGAGGATACTCCTACTGTTTTGCATATTCTAAACTTGCATGCATGTTTCTGTTTCCATGAAATAATTATTTTGCATCATCTTTGGTTATTTTTTGCCATGCAAAATCCATTTGCAATTTATTAGTGTTTTCCACCTATACATTCTTAAGCAGTGAACATCTGCTTTTTTGTCCCACATTGCTGTAGACTAATCTACTTCTCCTTTTTTTTCCTAAGTTTTTGCAGGACATGGCAGCTGCTCAGTGCTCCTGTGCTGTAGGAGGAGTTCTGGCATAAATGTGCTTTTGCTGGAGAGGCTTACACTAGCAAGATCAATTAAAAAAGACTGAATCAATAAGAAGTTTGTACATAGATATGACACCATTTTCACCAAGGCTTTAGTTCCCTTTAAGACATTACTGGAAACCTACAGCCTTACCTAGTATTGCTAAGCTCCCATAGGTTTTTTGGTGTAGCCACGTCTAGTTAGAGCTCTTCTAAACACTTCACACAGTATTTTTTCTTGTCCAAACCCACATTTTTGTGTATGTGACCACTTAGCATTGCCGGTCAGGGTGAGGGAGTTTCTACTGGGAGTGGTTGTGCTGGGGCTGGTTGCTTTTCAAGCAGCACACCTTTTGTGTTAAGTAAGTGTAAAGTCTGCTTCTCTCCAGCACTAAAATGGGTAAAGGAGAGGTTTGGGGGATGAGGTTTCAGCGTGAGAGAATTAACTGTTCTTGGGGAAGCAGAAACCCTCCCTCTCTGAATGTGTTGTGTTTCATGCATGTAGAAAATCTCCTTTGCTCACAAGATGGGTTGGTTTTACTACTGCCAGTTGTGCTTGTTCAGACACTCCACAAATAGGCCCTGAAATCTTTCATTTCCTTCTAAAGCCAGTGGAAGTTGTAGTTATGCTGAACCCTCAATAAGATGAAGAGTTAACCAGCTTGTCTGAAATTGCACTGATGCTAGCTGTTCCCACAAGGATTTTATGACACTGGGTGCTCCTGATTGCCTTTTGTATTTTGGACACTTTTTTGTTGTTAACTGAAATATCTTAATATTGTCCAATACTGAAAGTGCTTGTATGTGCAGACTTGTGCAGTAATGCCCTGTACCTTCAATGCCTCTGTTAGTCCCATAAATAACCTATAGAAAGAGGATTGCAGAGTCAGAAGAACGATTGTATGTTTTTGTCTGCAAACCTCTAAATCACAGGATCTGGACAAATCCAGACAAAACCGTGATAGTCCCTTAAATTCAAATATTGGGTTTCTCAGGTCATACTTCATGTCTGGTCGCTGCAATGAGAGTGGAAGCACCTCCAAGCAGGACCCCAGCCTGCCTATCTGGGTCATCACTTGAAATGATGGATTATGAGGTTTCTCCTAGCCTCAAATAGGCACCCAAACAAACCTGGGGCTAGCCCCAGGTACTGGAGACTTGTCATAGCTGTGACTTCTCAGAGGCTGTGCTGCAGCCCTTGGGGATGACTGTGGTCTCGCTCTGGTGACGCCATGCGGCCTCACAGCTCATATGAATCCCTTTTGTGCACCCGTGGCTAGGTACTGACCTGGCCAGTCCTTGGAGCACCTGGGTGCCTTGCCCAGCCTGGAGCAGCCCGTTCACCATCTTCCATCCCACCCCCAGTGCTAGGAGACACCAGGCAGGACTGTGCAGGTGTGGCAAGGGATGTGCCGAGCCTACCTTTCTCTTTCTTGGGAGCCATGTCCTTGCCAAGCAGAGGCATCTGTGGAACCTCCTTCATGTACTGAGGCAGATGGGGGTACTCTTTCCCATCCAGCCTGT